AATGTGAGCCAAAATCATCACAATTAAAAGAACCAAAGACTTAAACTACTTCAGTCTGTGTGCATTGAATTTATTTAATACACGAGTTTCACAATTTGAGTTGACCTTTCCTGGAGCAATTTTCAGTCCTTAGTAGTGCAACTACTAACAATCAACTATGGGTGGCAAGGCACTGTTAAAAGATATCCGGGATAAAGTTATGGACAGGCACAAGTCAGGATGGACACAAACAATTTACTGTGCTTTATCAATGCACAGTAAAGTCTATTATTAAGAAGTGGAATGTATTTGGTACAACACAGACCCTCCCTGGATCAGGACGTCGCTCCAAACTGGATGAAAGAGCCAGGAGGAAACTGGTCAGAGAGGCGACCAAGAGGCCTACAGCAACTCTGAAGCAGTTGCAGGAATTTATGGTCATTGTGTGTTTGTGACAACAATATCACAAATGTGGCTTTTGTGGGAGAGCTGCAAGAAAAAAAACACTCCTCAAGAAAGGCCACATGCAGTCACGACTTGAATTATTGAATTATTTGGCCTCAACACCAAACGATATGTCTGGCGGAAATCCAATACAGCTCACCATCCAAATAACAGCATTCCTACAGTAAAGCATGGAGGTGGTAATATCCTGTTATGAGGGTGTTTCTCTGCAGCAGGGACTGGAGCATTTGGATGGAAAAATGGATGGGGAAAAATACCGTCAAATTCTTGAGGAAAGTCTTCTACCCTCTGCCAGCAAGTTGTCAATGGGAAGAAGGTTTACCTTCCAACATGACAACAACCCAAAGCACACAGCAAAACTGGCCACACAGTGGTTGAAGGATTAAAAGGTGAATGTCCCTGCATGGCCTAGTCAGAGCCCAGACTTAAACCCTGTGGAATGACTGAGTGGACAAATATTGCAGTCTAGATGTGCAAAGTTAGTAGAGACACATCCCAACAGACAAAATACTGACACAAGGGGTGATCCTTTTTCCAACTCAGTTATTCTGTTTTTTTATTTTATTAATTTTTTTTATTTTATTCTGACATGTTGGGTGTTATATCTTTCACTTGGATGTTATAAGTTGCACTGAGTAAATACAGCTGAATAAAACAAAAAATGTGTCCATCTTCATTTCAGGCTGCAAAGCAACAAAATTTTATTATTTTAAAGGGGGTGATTCTTTTCTATACCCACTGTATTTTGGCCAGAAGCTGTTAAAAGTAAATTTGCCTTTACGATGGATTTGTTTCTTACAAACACATAACTCTTCACTTCACAAGACGTTAACTGATAGACTGGAGTCGCGTGGATTACTTGTGGATTATTGTAAATTGTGAATTATCAGTAATTGTATAAACTTTAGGTCTCATATGGCTATAGAATTTTAATAATAACTGCTTAACATTATGTATTACAATTATCTACATACAACATAATATAAATGTAAAAGTTGTGAGCTATGTGTTCTTAGTTAGAAGCTGGCTGAAAATCATTTGAAAAGAACAGGCTAATGGATGATCTGATTCTGTAGATGTAGAGCAGAACAGGAGAACAGCGTTTAATGCTCCGGGTCAAAGCTGTTCTCTTCAAAGGACTAGCAACACTGAGTCATTAACAGAGACAATCAGAGTAGGTGATTAGGGTATAGGAAAGATGTGCATTTTGAACACAGATGCAAACATTAAATATTGGTTATTTAATAGTATACAACTAACAACTCCTAAGCAAGTATAATTATGTCCAGTCTATGTAATTTGAAGCTTTTATGGTATCTGATTTATAGTGACTCTAATTAACAGTGTTTACAGCAGACGGTCTTTCTGATTAATGCTGTTTTTGTGCCACTGTTTCTAATTAATGCAATGTTTTGCAGTATACAGTACATGTACAATGTTATTGTAAACAGCTCCACAGCGCAGCTGTTTAATTGTTCAAAGAGAGAAATCAAGAAACAAAAGAGAGCAAATCAAATGAATATATCGGGTCAGTGACCTCCTGCTTACCTTAAGTGAGTGACAGCTGCAGCGATTATAAAGGAAATGGTTTTCACTTCATGTGAAGTGTAGGGTTTCTAAAAATCTTTTGCAATCACAACACATTCCAATCACAAACATGAACAGGAAACGTTCTCAGAGCTTTCTTTAACATTTGCATAACCAAGAAAAAACATTCTTAGAACATATTTTTGTTAGCTGGGATACAGGTTGCATTCGACTCAAATCTGAATGTCATTAGCTCATTGTCATTTATAAATGCCCAGTGTTGCCTTATAGCTTTTTTCCACGCTGTGAGCAAGAGAGAGAGAGACAAAGATAGGCAGACCGAGGAGAAAGCTGTGTTTAGAGATAGTGATTACCTTTACCTTCTTCCTATAAGAGGCTTTTAACTGAGCCAAACATTTCTGTAAGTGATTCCAAACAAACACTGTACGACTCTGTAATAGTTTTATTATCATCATTAAATAAATTCTCAATTATTACCTTAAAGGGATAGTTCACCCAAAAATGAAAATTCTGTCATTTACTCACCCTACTGTCATTTCAAACTTGCATGCATTTCTTTCTACTGCTGAACACAAAAGAAGACATTTTGAAGAATGTTCAGTTTTGGTTCCCACTGATTTCAATTTACTTTATTTTTTTTGCCACACAGTGGAAGTCAAAGGGAACCAAAACTATTTGGTTACTAACATTCTTCAAAATATCACAAGAAAGAGATGCATACAGGTTAGGAAAAACTTGAGGGTGAGTAAATGATGACAGAATTAAAATTTTTGGGTGGACTATTCCTTTAATTTTCATTTGGAATTTTTTTTTAAGTTAATGATGATTGAGTATCTGTTTATTCAGTCCACAGTTCGTTGTCTGGAATATAATAAATGGACAAAATGTGCATTTTAGATCAGTTACACACTACTTTATATGGGCGTCCAATAATTAATAAATAGGTCCCAACACTGAGTGGTATACGTGTTGACTTAATCTGTGTGTAAATCGTAGCAACACTGCATTAAGCATCACCAGAAATGACTTCAGCAGGGTTTATTTAGATGTAGCCTATTATGCAAACCTAGACAGTTATCCAGCTAATTAGGAACCTGTGTGAAAAGCAAATCGGCATTTGTCCATAGGCTACTCTATAATGACATCATCAGTCATAGTTGCGTGACTATAGAAAGATTTTATTAATACAATTTATTTATTTTTGTAGGTTTGTATTACAATATGTTACATCATGGTGTTTCCCTAAAGGCTGCAGCAGCAACATGCTACCTCTGTCATTCAATGTCCTAATGACATGAAAAGCTTTGCTGCAGCTGAGCTGAAGACACTTAGCTTCCCCGAGATGAAAGAAAAAAGGACTGTAGGCTATAACGGCTGCATTGCAGTAAACAGATTGGTGGAATGGTGATTGGTTTCTGACTGAAGGCTGTGCCAGATATTATTCTATATTCTATATGGCTTCCCCTTTGAAAGAAGTGTGAAAAATAATGTGTAGTACAGTTTACTTGTTTGTACAAAAATTGCTTCATGGTGTGAATAAATTAATAAATGAATAACAACTGAAAAAAATAATAAAATAAAATAAGAACACAATCCCTCAGAGCTCAAAAGTGTGTTTTCTAGATTTCCATTAGGTTAGAACAAACACTGATATTCATGACTAGTATTTTATTTTAAGTTATGAATTACAAGGATCTACAATGCTGCTTCTACGATATACCAAATATCTGAATTTCATATATTAATTCCAAATATAAATATATAAAACATATAAAAATATTCAGTGTTGTCTTTAGTACAAATGGGGCAAAAACAAACTTGTAAACGTGGGGATAATGATGTGAGACAATTACAGTTATTAGCTATTGAAACTAACTACACCAGGGTATTTTTCATGTAAAATGACATAATGAACCTTTAGCTTGAATTCAAATTTTGTATTTTGTATTTACTTAAGAACAGATCTCATGGAGATCTGTGACAGATGGCAGATGCTTGTCAGATGTTAAAGGGCAGCATAGGCCTTATTAGGGGAATTTAGACAGGTGACATGGCGTTGAAAAGGATGTTGTCTTTGCAAATGCTTCTATATATTATATTGTTTGTTTGTATATATATATTTATTTATTTATATATTGTATATATATATTTGATATATCGGTTTCTCTCTCTCTCTTTTACACCCACTCAAAAGCACAGAGCTCCCTTGCAATCAGGTCTCAGTTTTCACTATGTCTTTAGCTACTGTCCTCTTTGGTCCCAGTCCAGTTTAAAAAAAAAAGTAAAACCATGTATATGTGAGGTCAACCCAGTTTAACTGACGAATACATAGTATTTCAAGGGCTGAGGTCCAGAAAGAGTATTAGGTGGCTCAGATAGGTCCTCAAGGCCTAATCTGAGATTAACAATGCTGCTCCGCAGATTACTTTAAGGATTTCTCAGGTCTCATTAGCATGGCTGGGACGACCGTGTTGATGCAAGAGCTGGTCATATCTGTATAGTGCCACCACTGCTTGCCACTTTTTTTTCAGTGGATCACTAATCTGTGAAAGTGCTGGTTCATCAGGACAAAAATACAGCCTGGCAGCATAGAAAAGGTGTTCCCACAATGCAATTATACACACGTAAATAAATTAAGACAATAAATAACACATTTTAATATTATTTTCAGAAAAAGTTGAAGAATGTAAATTACAATGAATCATAATAAAAAGAAAAAAGTGCTATTTAGAAATAAATATGTCCTAAAGACAAAAAGAGTAATTACAAACATTAACGTAACGTTTCAGTCTGTTGTAAAAATGGCAGCTCCATTAGCCATTTATCATTGCTAATGAATATTAATGAGAAGAGAGCACTACGCTCCGCCCACATCCACATTGAAAGCTCCGAGCTGTCAGTCATCTGAGGAGCTGAGGGCTCCTGGACGCATCCTTTTTAAAATTAGTCTATTAAAAATTTGGACATCTAAGAATCACACATCATCTCAGTCTAACGAAGACTGCTAATGACAGCAAAAGTGGGTGAAACCTGATGGCCAAAAATGCAAAGACGAATTAGTTCTTTAAAGATGGGATTTTACATAATACTGAGCAGGATCACCAACTGCTTCAACCAAAGAGCAACTTAAACAGGAATTTTGTCTGAATCTGGTACTCTAAATCTGTTTCCAGTTAATTTCTGACTTCTAAATATTGTTGCGTCACAGGTAAGTTTAATAAATTACATGGTTACTAGATTAGATGGTGTAAAGGATATAAATATATAAATGCTATAAACGTGTCAATTTCCCATACGAATGCTTATTTGTTGTCCGTTGGTGTTTGCGAAAGAATTTATAGATAAATAAGTCTTCAAGATACTGAAATACTGCATAATGTATTAATAATAACTAAGGCTCGTAACAAATGTAAATACGTTAACAGGATTCTCTCTAGCCAGAGCGTTTCTGGCGCACGTGCAGCAGTGCTCAGCTTTCCAACTAAACCGTTTAGTGAAAATAAACCAGTCCAGATTTTCACTTGTCAATGGGGGAAAGAATGACGCAATAGTGACACTTTACATTACAGTGCCAATATACTGTTAAAAACGGCCACCTTGACCATAAGATAAAAAACTTAAATGATTATTTATACAGTAAAATATTAAAACAAGAAGTAAAAAGAATATATTAACTACTTCACGAATAAAATACATTACATTATTGTACTATTCATTTAACAAGAAATACACAGCTAATTTATTCTTCAAAAAAATATTTTTTTTGCATAAACACTAAGCATTTAAAACAAAAGGATGAATGGAGCTTACTTGTCTGAGTTAAACGTATGATGACAGTACAAATTATAGAAAGAAAGGCCACACTGGGCATGTCAGAGTGCCCTCAGCATTAGCATCTTCTGGATTTGGAATAGATTAGTCTAATTACACTCATCTTCCCTCAACAATATGATAAAACTAATCATCATTAGATAGAGAAAGCTCAGCATCGCCCTTTTGGTCAAAGACGCTGAAACCGTGGTGTATAACCGGGTTAGGAAATTTCTTGCCATATGAACAAATAAACATTTTTTAAAATCAATATACCACTCAGTTTAACCTAAAATCAGTTTACAGCCAATCCTTGCTATATGCAGTCACACGTTTATTTAAGAGTTCTGTATAAATGGTGGCTTGACATCAGGTGGCTTTAAAGTCCATCTGGGTCATGATCTATCAGAGAGATCTTGTTTAGTGTTTAAGCAGCGAGTATTTTTAGGCGGTGTGTTCAGATGGCAATGCTGTCAGTGTGAAAATGAGTTTGCAGAGATCAAGTCAAAAACAGGTTCTTGTAACCTCTTCAGATTTTAATTCCACTGAACTTTGGATTCAGCTGATACGACATTATTATCTGCAATAATAGCAGCCCATTGAAAGCCTCATTACATTATGCTTCTGAGAATTATTTCTAGGATCAAATACATGCTTTCAATTTTTAATAATTCATGGCCTTTTGTTATGGTGTTGTCCTTTGTTTGACATGTCTTGTCAAGTGCTGGATGCCTAGAATAGGCAAAGAGAAGAAAGACAATGGCGAAGATTTGTACAGAGCAGTCCTACCCATCCCAACACAGGCTTTCGGACCGAGCCTCTGAAGATGAACTGGATCGGACTGAAAATGGTGCAAGCAGGTCAGAATAACAAGAGGATCTTAAAGGGGTCGGTCATATGGTACATTTTTTCTCTTTTTTGAGCATCACATACAATGTTCATGATTTTGCACTAAAAACATCAATGAAAATAGATTTTCAGACTTCAATTTAGTTTTTTCCAAACTGTAATTTTTCTGAAACAATGACCTGAAACAATGAAACTGGAAGCTGTCAATCACAGGATGCGGGCTTGTTTTCAGTCAAATATACTTTTGACTGCCCCATTCTTTAATAACACCTTTTTTTAAAGATTAGATTGAAATGGTCTGGTATTTTGTTAAAAATAAACTTTGCTAAAAATCTGAATGTTTGGATTCTTCAGGAAGATATGTGGAGCTGCAAGTGCTACACTTTGTTTTGTTTGGAGAACGTTCACGTGTTTTATTCTAAGTTCTGGTGTTTTGCGATTTTTGCTGCTTAGTTTCAATAGATGGCCTTTTTGAAATAATTTACCCCCAACATTTCCCAGGGCACATTCTCTATGTGAGGACACTTCCTCTGACATGCAGGGAATCATTTCTTCTGCAGCCAGCCAGTTTCAGGAATCCAGGAGAAGCTCATTCACAGGTGCTGGGGCTATGGCAAGGTAACATCAAATCCATCCAAACCAAAGCTTGAATGTAGTTTGCCATGTGAACCGTGATTACAACTAAGCTAAGTCAAATGCACACTCAGCAGATTTTACCACACAAGCTTTATGAAGGGAAGTGAAACACATCAACAAAACTGTACAAAACTTGAAAATGTTAAGTGTGCATTTGACATGGCTTGAACAGAAAGCTACATACTGTATAAAGAGCTTGGAAGTATTTCTGTTTGACATCTTTCGGTCTCCCAGGCTCACCCACTTTCTGCTAATGCTGAGGAACTGGGTATCACACAGGCTTCGCAGAGAGGTTGAGCGTCCCGACTCCTTCTTGGAGCGATTCCGTGGACCTGACCTCAAAGACTTATCTAGTCGAGGAAGTAATGCCCGATCCTCTATAGGCCTTCCTGACAGGCCTCATAAGAGGAAGTCAGTCAAGAAAAAGGTTTTCTGTATGGTTTCTTTATACAGGCAGAGATGCCTTTGGTACAGAGTCCTTGAAAATGAAAGAATCATGCTGCATCTGTGCAAAAATACAGTATATCCGTACTGTGTGCAGATGATTCATAAAACAGATCACAGAGCTGAGGATTCATTTAATAATAATAAAATCCGAAAACAGTATGTAGATTTCCATGTAGAAACCCCCTTTAAGTAAAACAGTATCACAATAAATTGTAGAATAGAAACAAATGGAAACAGATGTTCACTATAGACATAGATAATAAATCAGCAGTAGTGATGATCTAGTTATTGTCCCAGAATCAGATCCCTCAAAATGTACTCCACGATAATAACAAAAACGAATGCCTTTTGCTCCTTAAGAAAAGCCAATCACTGGCCTCTGGCAGCTTACAATATGAACAACTGCAACAACACAGATGAGTAAGTACCATGTAGAAACAGCTCCTTCAGATATAAACCCCTATATAGTGCATTATAAATGACAGAAAAATAATTAACATGTGGATATGCTAGATGCTAGATTGTAGAATCCTAAATAATAAACTTTATTTAATAAATATGATAAATATGAAAATAATAATAAATATGACATTTTTAACAACAGATGATAGTCTGACCTGTTTAGTACATTGCCTTAATAGTGTTCAGTGAATATTAGTGCTGTCCTCTGCAGGTTAACATGAGAGTTTACTAGTGGTAGTTCACACTAGTGATTTTTAGATACCAGACTAGTTTACTAGCTAATTCCAATAAAAACAACCCAAAATGTTACCTTCAGCAAAAAGGAGGACAAAAAGAAATAAAAAAAGACGAAGACAAGGAAGAGAAAAAAGATGAGAAGGAAGAGAAAAAAGATGAAAAACAGGATGAGAAAAAAAGATGAGAAAAAGGACAAAAAGAAGGATAAGAAAGATGATAAAAAGAAAGATGCTCCTCCTCCGCTGTGAGTATGCCACAAATGAAATTTTTAATGATAGTATAGTTTTAGTACTACTAATCATATAATGATATTGATTATTCACAGATGAATGGTATGATTTAGTATGTGTTCATTTTTGAAAGTGGCCAGACGATAATCTAAGATGTGTTTTAGGAAAAAGTGTGGATCATGGATCCAGCCTCAGACAAGTATTACAGATGGCTTTCGGTCATAGCAGCCCCAGTGTTTTACAACCTGATGATGCTGGTGACAAGGTCTGTTCATGCAGAATCTCTCATGAAATCAAGAACTTGAGATGTGGCACGTGCTTCATTGTTTATATTTCTTTAGGGCCTGTTTCAGTGAGCTTCAGAACTCTTACACAGTGCTTTGGATCGTCATGGACTATACCTCAGATGCAATCTATTATGTAGACACGTTTGTCAGATCAAGAACAGGTAGGGTGATTTTTCAGAAATAATTAAAATATTTTATGAATAATATTATATTTAATATTTACTATCAATGTTAATAAATAATATTGATTTAATATACCCATTATATATACATATTATATACAATATATAAATGCTGTTCTTCACATTTCTATTCACCAAAGAACCCTGAAAAAAAAGTATCACAGTTTCCACAAACTGTGGAAGCACAACTGTTTTCAAAGCTGATCATCAGCATATTAGATATGGATTATATGACACTGAATACTTAAGAGTAATGGCTCCTGAAAATTAAAGTTTGCATCACAGGAATATGTTACATTTTAAAATGTATTAATATAGAAAATATTTATTTTAAATTGTAGTAATATTTCGCAATAATGACTGCTCTACTGTATTTGTAATGAATAAAATGCAGCCTTGATGAGCATAAGAGACTTCTTTCATACCACAAGCTTGTCAAATTTATATTCTTTTTATTTTTTGACATTTTTATTCGGCCTTTCTCAGGCTTCTTGGAGCAGGGTCTCTTCGTCAAACATGCTAAGAAGTTGATGGATCATTACAGGAAAATCCCCCAGTATAAATACGACATGTTTTCGATGATCCCGACAGATTTATTAATGCTGAAAGTGGGATTCAACAATCCTGAACTTCGCTTCAACTGCCTTTTCAAGATGGCACGTCTCTTCGAGTTCTTCGACCGCACAGAAACCCGAACAAACTATCCAAACATTTTCCGAATCAGTAACCTTGTACTTTACATCCTGATTATCATTCACTGGAATGCTTGCATTTTCTTTGCTATTTCCAAAACGATTGGCTTTGGGACTGACACATGGGTATACTGTATCCAAACATCAGCCACCCTGAATACGGCCGCTTGGCCAGAAAATACATCTACTGTTTGTACTGGTCCACTCTGACTCTCACCACCATCGGAGAAACGCCACCTCCTGTTAGAGACATCGAATACTTGTTTGTAGTTATGGACTTCCTCATCGGAGTGTTGATTTTCGCTACCATCGTCGGTAACGTCGGCGCCATGATCTCCAACATGAACGCTTCTCGTGCTGAATTTCAGGCCAAGATTGACTCCATCAAGCATGTACATGCAGTTCCGTAAGGTCAGCAAAGACCTGGAGGCCAGGGTCATCAAATGGTTTGACTACCTTTGGACGGAGAAGAAAACTTGTGATGAGAAGGAAGTCTTGAAGAATCTCCCAGGCAAGCTCAAAGCTGCGATAGCCATCAACGTCCATTTAGATACACTGAAGAAGGTGCGAATCTTCCAGGATTGTGAAGCTGGACTTCTCATTGAGTTGGTGTTGAAGCTGCAACCTCAGGTGTTCAGTCCTGGAGACTACATATGTAAAAAGGGTGACATTGGCCGAGAAATGTACATCATCAAAGAAGGCAAGCTTGCCGTAGTGGCAGATGATGGCGTCACGCAGTTTGTGGTGCTCAGTGACGGCGCTTACTTCGGAGAGATCAGTATCCTTGGAATCAAAGGCAGTAAAGCCGGAAACAGAAGAACGGCGAACATTCGTAGCGTGGGCTATTCTGACCTCTTTGCGCTGTCTAAAGATGACCTTGTTGAAGCGCTTTCTGAATACCCAGATGCCAAAAAAGCCCTGGAGGAGAAGGGAAAGGCCATCTTAAGACAACCTTCTTGATGAGGCAGTTGCTGGTGCTGGTGCCGATCCCAAAGGTCTGGAAGAGAAGATTCACCGTCTAGAGAACAACCTTGAAGTCATGACTGGTAAATTTGCCACGCTTATGGGAGAATACACATCCTACCAGAGCAAAATGAAACAGAGGATCACCAACATGGAGAACAAAGTGAAAACACTACGGGTAGAAGATCTGTTGAAGGTTGTTGAGGACAAAAAAGAAGAGGAGAAGACGACAAAATAGTCAGCAGCATAGACATTGGGGTTTCCTATCTATGTACATATTTCTTAACATAGCACATCACTTTTAAACTGTTTATACTTATTTATAAATTTTACATGACATTGTACTAATTGCCATATACAGTGGGTACGGAAAGTATTCAGACCCCCTTAAATTTTTCACTCTTTGTTATATTGCAGCCATTTAGGGTTAAACATCATCTGAAAGCTGAATAAATAAGCTTTCCATTGATGTATGGTTTGATAGGATAGGACAATATTTGGCCGAGATACAACTATTTGGAAATCTGGAATCCGAGGGTGCAAAAAAATCTAAATATTGAGAAAATCGCCTTTAAAGTTGTCCAAATGAAGTTCTTAGCAATGCATATTACCAATCAAAAATTAAGTTTTGATATATTTACGGTAGGAAATTTACAAAATATCTTCATGGAACATGATCTTTACTTAATATCCTAATTATTTTTGGCATAAAAGAAAAATCGATAATTTTAACCCATACAATGTATTTTTGGCTATTGCTAAAAATATACCCAAGTGACTTAAGACTGGTTTTGTGGTCCAGGGTCACATGTGTTCTCATGTGTATTTATTCAATATGTGCAGTATAAACAGCTCAGATGACAGAAAGCAGGACAGAGATACACTACCATTCAAAAGTATGGGGTCATAAATATTTAAAAAACAGCAATATCCTGAAATATTATTACAACCGTTTTCTATTTTAAAATGTACTTCCTATGATGCAAAGCTGATTTTCTTTGCAGCATCATTACTCCAGTGTCACATGATCCTTCAGAAATCATTCTAATATGCTGATTTGGTGCCCAAGAACCATTTCTTATGATCAATGTAACAATATTAAATGTAAATATAAATATATATTTTTTTACCTAAAAACTTTTGAACAGCAGTGTCTTTGTGGTGTGTCAAAAACGTGGCCAAAAAAAGTCACTTCACACTGTATGAGGTCTACATTTGTAGTTCAAAAGAGGAGGAATAATACTCCAATTTGGCATAAGTATGAGAACATAAATTCTAAATGAATATTTAGTTCCTTTGATGATGTTCTGCTCATTAAACATTTACATTATTTTAATATGGCTAATAGCGTTGCTCGAAAAACAACTTAACATGTACAATGTTAAAATCATTCCAGACACAAGTCAAAACATTTCATTATACCATCCAAGAGTACCAAAATGTGTTCTTTAATAAACATTCTAACAAATGTTGTTTGTTTGTTAACAGTGTTTCATTTAAACTATTTAGTTGTACTATGTAAACCAGAAGATGAACTAGAAATGCTCAACAGACTAGGTATGTATTGTGTGTGCGCGCCATATTCGTAGAGATAATATGGTATAGAAAAGGTGAAACAGTATGTCTAAATTTTATATAAAAATTACTATTTAAAAAAACACAAAAACTAAATACCAGCTTGATGCCAAACTCCAGGCAACCGAATCCTAGTGTGTGTAAAATCTTTATCTAAGTTAATCTTAGAGCTAAATGTAAAAAAAAAAAAACAGTATTTTCCCTTCGATATGGAGTTGAATTAAATTTAGTGTTTGCTAACTTTGTATGCATTTTACATTATAAATGGTTTTGTGTAAACTCCTGAATTGTGACACCACAAAAGACCCAGGAGTTGAAATCACACAATCGCTTCATCACATTTCCACACTTGGTTTGTTTTTCAGTTTTGAATTTATTTAAGAATAACTTGAAACAATCAAATTATGTCATTCTCAATATCAAGTTCTGTTTCCCCCTTTTATGTTAGCGCCATCAGCAGTGGAACAAACCACAGTCACATTTAATATGCAAGAGGGGAAAAAGGAAAAACAAAAAGTGTAGAAGGTATCACTAAAGTGGGTTTCCAGCTATGCCTGGACAAACCGGAGCGGCGATCAGCATATATGTTTGGCACAACAAGATAGTGGTACAATTTGTGCCAATTTCCCCTCATTTTCATCCAACATTATAGGGCTAGACACTGTGCAGAGCAAAAGGGGAAAAAAGAGCAACTAAAACAGAAACAGTTTCTTCATGGGGCACTGTCAATTAGCATTCACTGACTAAAAGTCTGCCATCCTGAATTAAAACAAGACAGATAACAAAACAAAACACTTGTAGGAAGCCTCTGAGAGAGGTTTATGGGAAGGTTAGATCTTTCTTTTGTAACACTACTTGTTTTTGTCATGAGTGCACCATGAGTGCGGATTGATTTTAGCAAACAGATAAATTCTGTGTGAGAGAGAAAGAGCTGGCTCTTAAGCAAAATGCAGAACACTGGCCATAAAAGAGCAGCACAACAAACAATGCAGTTCCTCAATAAATACAGATTCCTGGACATGAAATTGAGACTGGAGCTGCTCTGTACCTTTGAAAGCATTGCTGCAAATGCAAACGGACTAGGGAAGACCTATGAAACAAGCCAAAAAATGTCAAAGGGCAGACCCCCCAAAAAAAAAAAAAACCCCCAAGACACATTCTGAATATTGAGTTAA